GTCGGAGGCAAAATGAGCAAGAACGCTCATTTGTACATCATTCTAGACAGAAATAAATGGCCTTTTTATTGGCCTTTGGATTCCAAATATTTCGATTTGAATTAGCATGGGGAGTGGAAGAAGGTTCTAAGTATTTCCATTAGGAACGAGGCCTTAAAATCGCAATTATTTACAACAATTTTCAGATTTTGTCAAAGAAAGCACAGAACAGCACCAAGAGGGGAAGACGTGTTCGTTGCGTTGTTAAAGGAAAAATATATAAATTTGGAGGCTTAAAATCACAGTCGTTCCGACGATCTTTCACTTTTTCAAGCCAGGAAGATGATGATGAAAATGATAATGGTTCTCCCCAATTTTTGATTTTCTGCCAAAAGTAAACCAATGATTGAGATTTAATGGAAATATTTGTTCGTTTGCTTTAAAAGCTTTGTGGTTAATGAGTTTTTTTGTTTGTTTGCGAGTTTACAGTTTCACGAACAAAAGTAATAAATATGCGACTTTAAGGCAAATAATGACTACGCTTTCCTTAACTCAAATGTAATCGCCTGTTATTTAAGTACATGGATTGTTCGCTTCTAAGCTCGATGGGATATGAGTTAAAGCATGACTAAACAACCAATTAATCTTTAGAAGTTCAATATTTCATTATGACTTGTCGTAAATCACAAAAGGCCTTTTTTCGTGTACCCATCCATGTTTTAGCACCGCTAATTATTAAGTGTCCTCTAACCTTTGTACCACACCTTGTGCACTGTGGACATGCAGTTTCCACCTACCACCTAAGGATTCTCACATATTTATCATTAAACAGTCACATCGGAATTATGGCCAGTAGGTGGTTTGTGTCTTGTTTTACATACTGCATTATAGTGATAGCTTAAGACAATAAATTTGTGCCGGCACCGAAGGGAAATTCGTGAAGCACGTTTCTTGAAAATATCGATGCTGGGGCACAAAACGTGTAGATTGAATAAATAATGCCCAATTTATTGATAACTATGTACGTGTTAAGTAGCAAACCCTCAAGCCGGAAGGATTTAAGAAAATATTGAAAATATTTCGGATTTCTCTTGCGTAGCAGCCGATACTTTGGCTTTGGTAAACGATTAATTTTGTTTAAATACCATCCTGACAACCAACTATATTTATTTATGTATGCAGTCTGTAACATTTTGCAAATGAAGCAGCTTTTGAATATGGAAAATGATCGCAAACGAGTTTTGTTGTTAGCTGAGTAGACTCCATATGGTTAATGCAGAAATTACAAACCGAATCTAGGCTTTGGATTCAGGAATTAACGGCGTTTCAGTTTGGCCCAGAAAATATTTATTTTGGTCTATTCAAACCTAATGAATATTTATTTTCCACAAAATCTCATCAGGAGTTTAATTAATTTCTTGGTGTCCAAAAATGTTTATTTAGATGGCAGTTTTATCGACAGTTAATGGGTTTTTCAAAATAAATTTTTAAACGAGAATCTACAATTGGTCAGTTGAATCTGGAAACTAATTTTTGATATTTTTGATTGCATGGATGTGAGCAGATGATTTTTCGTTATTACAGTCGCAAGGGCAATTTTATGATGGAATGTATTGGCTTTTAATAGATTAAAAGCGTTGTGCAGAGTTTTATTTAAAACGTATTGTTTCAGGGCCCAGGGAAGATGTGGAGACAAATCTACCAACTTAGGCGCATTTGCATTTTTACGTGTTTTTCGGGAATTTTGGTAAGTATTTACACCTAAATGTCTGGTTCAAATGTTCAGTCTGAGGTCCAACAGCGACTTACACATTTTATTGAAGGTTTTTCGGGATTTTTCAAACAGGAGTTTTATTTCGACTGAGTGAACTCAATCGCCCTTGAGCACGCGGACCACAAATATAATATTTTATACTTTATATTATAGTTTTTTAAATTTCCGTTTACATTTTCCTATGCATATGGCTTTCTGACTGTTGCTCAATTCACGCAAAGTTTTTCAAGTCTTTTGTTGGGTCATCTGTTTTTGCTGAATCTTATTCCATTTTTCTTTGCGTCGATATTTCCTGCTTTCGTCCGTGGTCGCCCACAGTTGGTTTTTTTCTCTCGCAATATTTGAAAATAATTTTCAATTGTATTTTTCGAAATCCTCGTAATGTTATCAAAATAGTTAGGATTTCGTGGCCGACGTTAGAAAAAGTGTCAACATTTTTTTTCATCTTGGGCATGGCACCAAACCACCACTGAGTTGTTTAGTTCATGTATTTTAAATTCACAAATTTTACATTTCACGCAAAAGTATATGCACAAAATAAAGAACATATTTCCGGAGTGTTATTTTCAGGCTGTCTGGAGCTAATAGGCTCTAAACCGTTCTAGGGGGTGCCTCAGATTATCACATTTTCACCTCTGTCCTGATTGAGATCAAAAATCGACTACTGCCTTGTTTTTCTTTGGAAATTCAATTGAGGCAAAGCCGAACAACAAAAAACTGAAAATAAATGGAACAGTCCAGACAATCACACAATATTCCGTGTAAAACCCGCATCATTTTTTCCTTAATGGAAGTGCATCACACACTTATTTTCAATTGATGCAGTTCCGCTAATGATTAAAATTGATTTATGAGCGTGGCATGGAATCGTTGCCTTCATATGAAAAGGAGGTCTCTGCCAAGATAATTTTAGAGTAATTTGCGACTAATTAAAAATGTAGAGCACCGGTGAGATATTGAAAGCAATATTTCACAATTTGACCTCAATGGGTGGTGTAGATGGTGTTTTTGCATTAGGTGAACATGGAAATTATTGGGCTAAAACGAGAAGTGAAACGCCGTGGTTGTAGTAGATCGAATAGAAATTGATAGTTATTTGATTAATTGGCGCTGGACTTTCTTAGCGAAGGTCTGATGGGGGAAGACCATCATTTTCCGTATAACGAAATTAAAGCTCTCCAAAAGAACAACTAACGGATTATAATACGCGAACTTGTTTAACTGGATACCACCAACCGTTTTTTCCTACTGAATGCTTCGAAACTTCAGAGATTCTTTTGATAATTCTTTTTACGTTCCTGACAGTCGATAAATCTAACCGGCTCATTATTATTTTAATTCCAACTTTTGTATTCTGGGTCAACGAATTTTTCTCACACATGTTTCGCCGCAGACAGTGTGTCTCGCTTAAAGCAGTCGCACATTTTACCAAGATTAATACCGATTTGTAACATTCACCAACTGAAGATTTTACTAGAACTGAAATCACTTGAACTTTTTAAACTAATCAACTGGTAATAATTCAACTCTTTTCTTCTAGAACAACTGCGGTTTTCCGTGAAAAATCTTCAATTAAATCCCCAGCATGAAGGATAATTACATTAATTACAAATACTGCATTAAAATCACCTAGATACGCTACTGGGCGTGAGTGCGAGAATAATAACTACAATAAGTCCGCAAGCATGTAACGCGGAATATTTATGATTACACGGCTGGGTAAAGCGAATGCTGCAACCAAATAGAATAATCATCAAAGAAGAGCTTTTCCCAACTGAAAAATCGTCCAGAAGATCCCTAGCGAAGGAAAAACTGGCCCGTGTTGCCACTTTTACGCTCTAAAAGCCATTAATTCAAAACTTTGTGATCTAGGTCAAGATATTTTTCTCATACACACTTACATAGACAATATGTCTCGCATGTAATGGCTCTACTGTTATGACCGGAATAACACCTCGTACAACAATCAAAATCGTGTTTATTAAAAAAACTACAGATGTTCTGGCATGGTGAATGAATTACTGAATTTGAATGGCATTTTCAGAATCCCACACTGTTTTTTTTTTTTCAAGTTAATTCAGCTTAAGAATGATGCGTTCAGCTCTGAGGGAAACATTGATTTTCACAGTTTTCCTGCTGGTTTTTAACATGCAATCGGATTTTGAGACCAAGCAGAAAGTGATGACCCAGATATCCGAATTCTTATGATCCGGATTAGCTTGAAAGGAAAGTACACGTTGGATGACGGACTGATTCGCTCACGAAAATGTAACAAATTTATTCCGCGCTTTATCCTTTGCAGTTTGAGGGTTTCTAGTTTTTTCTAATTGATGCATCAAGCGAAAAATGGGCTTCCAACTGAGTAGACTCAATTTTTTTACTTCCCAAACGGTTGCAATCTTTGCCCTGTACGATCACCTGATTTAATTCATTCAGATTAATTTTTGTAGGGACAGTTATATACAGGGTGATTTACGTAGACCGCGCATTAGAAGTTTTCCATCAACAAAAGTAGAAAAACCGAGTGTTTCAGAAGTAGAAATATCTATAATATTAGGCCTTTGCATGCATTTCAAGAAATGCATGCCAAGGCTTAAAGCAGCAACAACGCTACACATAAAAACTGATGATGGTGGAAAAATACACCGAAACGTATTTGGATTGATAAATAGAGGCAATAAATGACTGAAACCCAGAAATTAATTTGATTTGGAATTTCAAAACAATAGAAGATGTAATTCACACCAAAGCGACACTTGTTTTACATGTTTGCTGTTACGTTCGTAATAAAGCAAAACATTATTTTAACTTTTATTTTAACTGAAGCCATTATTTATGTTCTCTGTTTAGATCGATATTCTCAAAAAATATACAGGGCGCCATCAGAATCGTACAGTTCTCCCGATATTTAAAAAATCAATAGCAGAGAAGTCAAAAATGTTTCCTTAATCAAAGTTTGTACAGAACGTCTTCTTTTGGATCAGAGAATGTCTCAGGTTTTTGATCATTGGGATGGGAACTCGATCGAAACTCTAGTCACCTGTGAGTGCGAAAATATACAGAGCGTTCCAGCCACAGACTCCACAAATGTGTGTTCCATACTTCTTCACACGAAATGGTTATTAATGGCGATAACTGAACTGGCTTTGTAAAAAAATATTTGTTTAACGTACTCTCTGTACTCGGCCTAGCCAGTAAAAAATTGTCAACGTCCCAATGATTAATTGATTTATCTTTTAGCTTCAGCTTCGACTAGTGAAACAACCGAGCGCCTCTCCCTGTTTACAAACAATTTCATTCTCTGTTTTTTGCACATCTAGCAGGTCGATCTCTCAGCAATTTTGCCTCGAAATAATCAAACATGGTTCGCTGATGTGCTACATCACGTTTGTGCTGTTGTTTACACGTCCAAACACGCAATGCTATTAATTTTAATAAAGAACATTAGCAAAAGGCCTATATGAAAAAAACCGACTACACTACATTATTACGACGATTCTTCAGCTCTTCTCGTTCGCATTAGCCCCATATTTGAATGCTGTTCAATCGCCTTGAATGTCTCAATTATTTCAGATTCACTATGTAAAAGAACACACAGCAAATTCTGTTTGTTCGTAGTCGCAATTTATCAACCGGGAAATGGTGTTTGATTGGCAAGTTTAGCAAATGCATCAGTTCTACTTCTGCACCAAATTTATCGATGTTAAAACAGCGAAAGATTTTTGAAGAGCAAGTGGCTGGCGACTCTGTGTTAGGAGTAAGGAATTGTTGAAAATGTGTCGACTTCTTCAGTCTGAGCTGAAATTTGGGGATTTTTTCAAAATCAGCCTACTCTTTGATTGTATTTCAACTTACCTGCCTGGTGGAGTAAAGTGTGCTGGATAAACGTATCTACCAAGAAATTTGCTGCCTGCTCCAGGTTTGGCCCTAGAATTTTTTTAAATGAAAATTGAATTGAAAATCCACCTGTATTTTATTGGTATTTAAATTGTCCTAATTTCCTACGTCGTCGAGTATACCGAGTCTACCTCTTCTAAATGGGACGTGATAGTTTTTTGAAAATCGCCGAACTTGAAAGTTCTGGTCAGGTTCTACTGCACGTTTGTTAATTCCTGCAAAGCCATACTGCAGGCGGTTTAGATCGAAATTTGGAACACTGGCAGATCCCCACCGTGGTTAGACCTGGACAAAAATTTCAATTGTCTACTTTTAGTTCCTATACCAACTGATAAAGTTTGGTACTCATTAAGCTGCATCATCAACTAGTCAAATTAGATTAGCAACGAATAAATGTGGCATCTGGTATCTGGTATAGAGGCTGATTTATTCGACAGAGGAAACTAGACGGTACGCATAGCAGGTTGTATCTGATGAGCTGGAAGACACCTACGAACAAGATCGATTAATTCGATTTCTTGCATCTGTTGTTATCATTTCGATTCGATTTGCTTAGAATGTGCGGAACAGTTGGTTCGTTTGAGGAATTTCATCTGCCAACTGCCATTCCGTTTAATATAACTGCTGAACGCATAATGGACATAATAAAGATGCTTTACGACGTTGAGTGGTGAGAAAGTTATAATTTTATGTAGGCTCAGATTATAAGTTAATTGAAGATTTGTAGTGGCAGCTTCTTTATCCTTCAATGGCCAGGGAGTACATCTGTCTTTAGCAATTAATGTTTTTTAGTTGCGGTTTTAAATGCAACACTTTCTGCTCAGGAAAGTCTAGAGTGTTTTTCAACAGTTCGTCCCATTACTCCTTCCCTGCGAATGCTCCACAAAAAACACTCTGGCTTTTGTCAGCCGAAAATTTGGTAACGATTACCAACTTCAGCCTTATAATAGACGAACTCTGCTTATGCCTATTGAGGAGCTCCTCAGGTTGAAAAACATGCAATTAAAACGAACGATTGATCAATGAGTAATTGTTCCCCTGTTCCGAGTACGAACAAAGAAATAATTACGATGCCAATTAATAAACTCATATTTTAAACCGATATCAACTGGATTCCCCGATGAAAACACAATCTCTTCAATCTTTTTTCCTCACCAACCAATGGGTGGTCGTTCTTTACGTATAATTGGCATTAATAGGAGGAAAACCGATACAGGAATCTGGCATTAAATTTAATAAGACCAGTTAATTGCTGTTGATAATTTATGTAAGAATCTCCGACTGTGGATGGAGTTATTGAAAGGATCATCATATTACTGATAATTTACACTTGCTTGGAGAAAACGACGTGCCATTTAGTGTTATTGCGTGGCCTCAAGCCATGCTAATGCGGCGAGCTAATGAATGTGTGATCGTTCATGCCTCTTGTTCAGCTGTTAAAGATGAGCTCCAAAAAAGCTCACATCTTTGAGGGACATTTATGGAACTTCCTGAAAAGTGCATGTTTGCTTAAAAAATGCAAAACCATCCGTTCGAGTTACTTATTCGAATAATAATGTATTATTTTGTTTTCAACATGCACTCACGACATCCCGTTACAAATTTGCTTGGTCGTAACCACTGACCCAAGACGTTTGGTCAACTGGTCACGTTGTTGAATTTTGTGCGTAATTTTTCGTTTATACTATATACATTTTTAAAAACACCCTCCATATGAAGACCTTTTCCTGTTTAAAACCCTGTGACAGATCAAATTCAATTGGCAAAATGGCAAATCGGGCACATTGCAATTTGATTCGAAAGCCCATTAGTTCAACTCGATCGATCGCCTAATAAACCATGACTGATTTTCATGAGCCCCAAACCCAATTTAATAACAGTTGAGCCATTATGGGTCGTGAGTTAGGTTGATTGGTTATGGATTCTTTAAATAAATATTTGCAGCCGAGCCCATGATCTCAATAAAGATCGGCGCTGAGCAAACAGCTCTTTTATCTCAGATTTGAATCCAAGCTGAGCAATGAGCGGCATTTGAAAAATGTCAATCATCTTTAACCGTATAACATAATTTATTGCATCTATCACATGGCAAATGCCCAGACATTGAGGAATGTGAAAGAATTTCCGGTTGGCGTGAATCATAGCAAGCACGACTTTGGCTTGCAGAAGAAGACCAATCAAGTGATTCCGACTTCACACCCGATTTGATTGGCTATGAATTCCATTCAATTTCCTGCGCAAAACAGTTTTTTTACTCCTGCATCAGGCAAAAATGTCTAAAAAAAGCCAGCGTAATAAACTAATTTATTTATCAAAAGGTAATCTGAGCTCCATTAGCGGAACAATTAAGAACATTAATCGGGTCATTAAAATGAATTGGTGCCTCTAATATTTTTATATCATTGCAGTCGAGTGGAGGAAACCGTGAAATTAGCACAATTAAAAAATTAATTACACTAAATGGCTTTCTTTGTTTATTGTTAGCTGCACAACTTTCGCATGCTGCAACAATCAAACCGTTAATGTTTAATTCAACATGAATTCGTATGATTTTAATAAATATAAATTGAAGGTGTTCCTTAACTGCACTTTAAAAATCCCCATTAAATCTTTAAATCCTCCGCAATAAAATGCGAGGCTTCATTATTCTCCGGGCAAATTATGCATCATAAAGCCTAAATACAACATTTATGGCCATTTAAAGGTGATATAATGATAGCGTTAAGGCAGTGCGAAGAAATATGCTTAATTTAAATCGCATCCTTTCATAGGAAATCATCTTCGCGACTATGATTAATCCAAATATAATTTCCTAAAGGGACTTAATTGAAATCAATTAAAATAAAACGATCCGTAAACCCAACATTACGGCATAATGATGGAAATAAACAACTGAATATCGTTCCATTGCAAAAGGAAGCAACGCACTCGAAGAAATAATTACAGAACTGATTGAGACGCTATTTGCAATTACTAATTTTTAAATTTCTGCTTGAGAAAATGATGAGTTTGACAGCGTAATTGATAATCGATTCGAATGAGAAAATAAACAAACTACTTTTTAATTATGTGAAATTGAAATTGTTGGTATTAGTGATGAGCAAAGCCAGACCGAGAGCAAAGTTGGTTTTGCCGCAAGAGTCTTGCCAGTCTCGTTTTTAAGTAAGGCGCAAACTTAAATGAAATTAATTCAATAACAACAATAATTTTTTTACAAACTTCTTGTTGGGTATTTCGCCTCAAAAATTTTTGTCTTCCAGACAGAATTTCCTCACGCCTTTTATTACAGATTGATAAATAGTGCTCCTATTTCGCAATAAGAACGAATTATTTTTCAAAAAGTAATCAAGAACTATCACCTAGAGGGTATCCTGCCACACACTTGGCTCAAGCTGTAAGAGAAAATTCCAATTAGTAAAGAAATTAATTTGAAACATTACCTTGACGTTTCGATAGCTATTTTCTGCTATCGTTATCAAAAGAACCTAAATGAACCTAAAAAAGAGTATCTTAATAAATTGTGTAACAATAGTAGGATAATACAGTATATAAAAATTCGCTCTGATAATTCGTCTGTGCAAATTGTCAGTTATGTGACTTTGACTTAATATCACTGTTTAAATTAATAAAGGTAATGATAATTAATAATTTTGGTGTAAATTTAATTGAGGTGTATGTTTTTTTGGTCTACTTCAGATTTTAGCATAGGTAACCATGTATGACTTAAATTAAATGAACAT